CCAACTGAAACAGCAAACAGACTCAATGATTTTTTCTCCTTGCCAATAAAATTCCAAGCTCAGATACCCCACCCAATGGCTACCTCACTGGCAACTACCCGAACACACTGTTCCTAGCTCTGACTAACCCAGCTGAAGTCTCCCTTATCATCAACACACTAAAAAACAAGACAGGAGATTTAAATACCTTACCACCCTTTTATACAAAAAAGCATCTCAAGTGCTATCACCAATCATTGCAACACTCTTTAACAAATCCATTGAATCCTCTACCTTCCTTACAGTTCTCAAAATAGCAAGGGTCACCCCGATCCATAAAGGAGGAGACCAAACAGACTTGAATAACTATAGGCCAATATCCAACTTATACCCTCTCTCTAAAATCTTCAAAAAATTAATTCATAAGCAAATCTATTCCTACCTCATCTCCCACAACATACTCAACCAGTGTCAATTTGGGTTCAGGCCTAATACAAATACTAATGATGCTATTATACACATGCTAGAGCATATATACACAGCAATAGAGAAAAAAGAAGTCCCACTGGGGATCTTCATAGACTTACGTTAAGCTTTTGATACAGTTGACCATGACTTGCTCCACATAAAATTGTCGCACTATGGTATAAGAGGGCACTCCCTCAACTAACTAAAGTCATACCTCGGCAACAGAAGCCAATATGTGTACACAAATGGGGCACACTCTTCCACACAGTCAATTACAGTTGGTGTCCCACAGGGAAGTGTCCTAGGCCCTCTTCTCTTTCTCATATACAGGAAGGCCCCACTTATACGGCGGGTTAGGTTCCAGGCTACCGCCGTAAAGCGGAAATCGCCGTAAAGTGGAACACCCTTTTTTTCCACTTATAAATGCATACAAACACTAGATAACAAGTTTACACTAACATATATTAAGTTAGCAATAGAACCAGGCATCAAAAAACAATAAAAAGGTACAATACACACATAGTGCACTCATTACTTACCTTAAAATATTTATAGTCTTAATCTAGGGTGAGACAAGTAGTATTTATTGTAAGAAATCAAGTGTGGTATGTATTGTAATAGCCTCACCAGGCCACCCCACCCACACATACTATTCTATGATATTTAAGCATCCCAGAGCGATAAAATGTATATACAGTTCACTCATTACTTACCTTAAAATATTTGTAGTCTTAATGTAGGGTCAGGAGTAAGTAAATGAGATAAAACGAATAAATGAGAGAGAGAAAGAATGAATACATGAGAGGGGGCAGGCGCAGTTATGTAAACAAACCAGGCGAAGGTAAGTTTTGTAAACAAACGAAGTGTACACGTCTGGTTTGTGTACAAGTTACATTGTGTACAGGTTGTCTCTACATTGATACGGTAGAATTAATAAAGAAGAACACTCCCATTCTCATGTAACATCATTTTGAGAAGAAATGAAGCTCTGAGTGAAGGCAATGGAAATAAGTCACACTGACTTTTTTGGGTTATCCTAGGTTCTCTACACGTATGTTGTTATGTATGATAATCTATGTAACTGTATTTGTGTATACCTGAATAAACTTACTTACATACATACGAAAGGAATAATTTTCTACAGTTACCCCCAGTAACACATTTACTCTTATGTTAGATTAGAGAAAATGTTATTCTTGGCGTCACTTGTACAAGTTATGTGGCTCCCACATCTTATATTTATGTTTATTTATTCTATTGTGGGGTGTATTTATCATCTTTTTATGTTATGTATCGTGTTTATTATATAATTTTGAAAAAAATATCATGGATGGATTAATGAAAATGTGTATATTACCGTAATATACGACATTTAATGAGACTCAGTATTGTTATTATCACCACTTGTGCAAGTCGTCTGCTACGACATCTCACATTTGTTTATTTATTCTACTGTGGGGTGTATTTATCTTATTTATATGTTATGCATCGTGTTTATTATATAATTTTGAAAAAAATATCATGGATGGATTAATGAAAATGTGTATATTAACGTAATATACGACATTTAAATGACTCGATGTATGTAAGTTTATTTAGGTACAGGTATACATAAGTATAATTATCAGAGTATATATAAAATATGAAATAACTTTTAAAAACATTTGAAATTTTGGAGTTTCCAGACAAAATGGAGAGACTTAGTGCTTACTGAGCTCATGGAGAATGTAAACAAACAGGGTGGGGCACGGTGACCGTATTAGAAAGTCAGGTGGGGGGAGCCGTATAGTGAGTTTTGGTCATAATTTGAAATGTCCGTATTAGCGGAACGCCGTAAAGTGAAACGCCGTAAAGCGGGGCCTTCCTGTACATAAATGACCTACCAAATGCATCGCAACTACTCAAACCCACACTATGTGCAGATGACACTACATACGTCTTCTCTCACCCGAGCCCAGTCACGCTAGCCAATATTGTAAATACTGAATTACAGAAAATATCTACCTGGATGAGGACTAACAAACTCACTCTAAACATTGACAAAACCTACTTCATTCAGTTTGGTAACAGAGCTACAGATGTCCCTCTTAACATAATGATAAACGGATCACCTATCACAAAACACACAGAGGGAAAATTCTTAGGAATCTGCCTTGATAATAGACTCAAATTTCAAACACATATACAACAAATTTCCAAAAAAATTTCCAAGACCATAGGCATACTATCGAAGATACGGTACTATGTTCCACAGTCAGCCCTCCTGGCCCTATATCACTCACTTATTTACCCCTATCTCACCTATGGAATTTGTGCATGGGGCTCAACAACAATAAACCATCTCAGACCATTAATTACCCAACAAAAGGCTGCAGTCAGAATGATAACAAATTCCCACTACAGGCAGCGCACTCCACCAATATTCAAAACTCTAAACCTACTCACAATACAAAACATCCATACTTATTACTGCACCTACTACATACATAGAACACTTAGCTCTGATATAAACCCTCCCCTCAAACGTCTCCTTACCAACTCAACAGAACACATGACCATAACACAAGGCACAGATCACTCTTTGATGTTCCTCGTGTCCATCTCACGCTATGCAAAAACTCAATGCACATACAAGGCCCTAAAATCTGGAATTCATTACCTGTGAATATAAAAGAAACACTGTCTGTTTATAAATTCAAGTTTCTTCTCAAAAATCACTTACTCACCCACAACTAAATGAATACTGACTAATTGTATCTCATAAATGTTTCTCATTATTGTATCTCATAAATGTCTAACCTGTGACCCAATCAAACTTTGTTATTTTTTAATTACATTACCTAACAAAATACTCCATTCTACTGAATGCACAGCAACACAGTAAATGACCATATGACCTGTCTTTGTAATACTCATTTGTGCTAAATTGTTATCTGTATAACAATAATGTTTTTACCACTGAATATATCATTGCTTAGTTAATCTTAAGTTAATTTTAAGTCTGCCCATAATGCTCTGCATACAAGGGGCTTTGGCATGTTGCACTTTAATAACTGTATTCCTTTGCACTTCTCTGTATCATGTTCAAATAAATAAATAAATAAACGACATACAAAAATACACTGCAAAGTCACTGTTTTAATCCAAAAACACGGTCATTTTTTTCTCATTACGTATACACTGCATGCTTCAGGATTTTTTTTTATATGGTGCATACTTTCCACAGAGCCATTCTCTCATATCTAGGCCCAAATTTACTGATCACAACTTACCCGAGTGAGCTGAGCTCATGACATCATACTATGGGACCAATGGCTTCAAAGCCGTTGAACAACAGGACCAACACTGAAAAAGTTAAGGTAAGGGTTCAAGAAGATGGTGGGAATAAAGTGGTCTGCTGGGTCAATTATCTATGGAAATACAGTGGAACCTCTACTTACGAGTGCATCCATGTGCAAGTTTTTCCAGATACGAGCAGTAGTTCGGTCAATTTTTTGCTTCCAGATGTGAGCGGGCCTCAAGGGAGGTTCCTTGACGCTGGTGAGGGGCTCTTGCTCTTGATCTAGGTAATTTTATCTCGGTTGTTTGTTGGACTATCTTACCGAAACTTGGGTAATGTATGATGGAAAGATGCTTAACGTACACCAAAAATGAAAGAAATCGGACCACACATAACGGAGTTCACTTCTCAGCCATTAGCCTCCCCTTAGCAGTATATTTTCGTATGGTTTTTATGGTTGTATTCTCGTTTTTTTGGTCTCATTTGATAGAATGGAAAATATACAATAGAAATAGACATGATTTTGATTGGTTTCACAATGAAAAGTACCTTGAAATTGAGCTCAAAGTAGCAGAAATGTTCAATTCTTTGGCGATGCTCAAGAATAAACAAATGATGTCACCATCCAATATCTGTTCATTGGCACTGCCCCTCAAGCTTTACATACTGGAAAGCTCATCAACAAGCTAGCAAAAGTGGGAGCAGGCATCATGAGGTAGCAGTAGCAGACAACATGAAGCAGCAGTGGCAGACAACATGAAGCAGCAGTGGCAGACCTTGTACCTTGAAAACAACCTTGTTGTACCCTGGTAACAACAACAATGGCCGCTGTCACCACCACTAGCCACATACGTAATGACATGAATTTTATTCATTCTAGTGTATATATCATGTTTCTATGGTATCCGTATTGTTTATGTCATATTAGATGAATTCTGATAGATAAATAAGCCACAGAGTTGATATTAGGGAAATTATTGAAGTATCTTGTCGTGCCTGAAATTCCACTGAAATGGATTAATTCCATTTCAATTAATTTACACTAGTACAACTGATTCTGCAAAGGAGCAAATCCAGATGCGAGCAAGGTCAATGAACGAATTAAACTCATAAGGAAAGGTTCCACTGTATTTACAGACATATTATCTGTATCTCCATGGATGAGTGGAGAAGAATCCTTCCTCCATAAGCCATGCATGTGTAAGAGGTGACTAAAATGCTGGGAGCATGGGGCTAGTGCTTGTGTTGAGTGTGTAAGCAATGGATGACATACCTAGGTTGGTCTTCACTGGACTCACAAGCAAGAGCCAGTGCATGTGTTGAGAGTGCTGCCATGGAGTGACCAACACTGTTGTTAAAGTGCAGGGAGTGGTGCACTGAAGTGTCATGGAACTCTATGTCAATGCTATTTTCGTCCTCACTAGAGTACTGCCGCACGATGCCCACATTGTTCCACAGCTGAAAGAAAGAAACCCATTGTACAAAAAATTCTGTATACATTATACATTAATTACAATACACAAATAACACACACACAGGAGAGAGAAGCTTATGATGACATTTTGATCCAAGTTGAACCAAAACATTGTCACAAGCCTCTCTCTCTCTCCTATGTGTGGGTTATTTGTGTATTATTCCAGTCATGGTATTGTGCCTTTTTCTTCTTCACTAATTACAATAATTTTTTGTAACCAGATGAGTCATCTCCCACAAGGAATGATGATCTAAGTAAGGAAACATTCACTATCAATCATTCAATAGTAGTCTTGCCAGAAGTGTGCTAACACATCACAATTCAGATGACCCTCCCAACAGCACAAATCACCCCTCTTTCAGTGTGCTGGCACTGTACTTCCCACCTCCAGGACACTGTTTTCCCTAAATCCCTTCATAAATGTTACCTTGCCCCTACTCCAGCATGTCAAATCTCTCAACCCACCTATCTCTGCTCACCTGATCTAACACGCCCACACACACTATCTTCCATAACTCCCATCTTCTTATTGCTGCACTCCAAATTCTTTGCACAATATTCACATGACACACTCCTCTGAATCTGGCCATTTCAAATGCCTCCCACCACCACCACCATCTCCTCCTCCTCCATCTCCACCTCCACCATCTCCATCTCCACCATCTCCATCTCCATCTCCACCTCCACCATCTCCATCTCCACCTCCACCATCTCCATCTCCACCTCCACCATCTCCACCTCCTCCATCTCCATCTCCTCCATCTCCATCATCTCCATCTCCATCTCCTCCTCCACCACCTCCATCTCCACCACCTCCATCTCCTCCTCCACCATCTCCTCCTCCACCATCTCCTCCTCCTCCTCCTCCACCATCTCCTCCTCCTCCTCCACCATCTCCTCCTCCTCCTCCACCATCTCCTCCTCCTCCTCCACCATCTCCTCCTCCTCCTCCTCCTCCTCCCTGCAATGTTTAAAACCATGTGAGTCGTAAGGGGACAGTACCCCTTTCTCCCGTATAAATTATTAAATGTAAAATAAAGAAAACTTTTGTTTCTACTTTTTTTGGTTACCCTGCCTTGGTAGGAGACAGCCAATGTGTTAAGAAAAAAAATGATAAATATCAAAGCTAAGGTCTGCTCCATGATAGATCACATTAGAGTATCCCAGAAAATAAAAATAAAGAGAAACTGATGTTACTGATCACATGCCAGACAACAGCCATGAAGGAGAGGCACTAACCATATATCTGTCATTGAGGTGCTCTGGGGACATGCCAGGCTGGAAAGGCTTCTGTATCTCGGGTAACTTCACCACAGGCACTGGCGGAGCTATACTCGTGGTCACCACACTTGCAGCATCATCATCCACGTCTTTATGCTCTAGGAGTTAAATTGCAAACATTAATGATTTTTCAGGTAACCAATTATAACAAAATAGTTTTAGCAGTGAAGAGTTTTATGAGGATAGTGAGGCTCGGGTTAGAGTATGTAGGAGAGAAGGAGATTATTTCCCAGTAAAAGTAGGCCTTAGACAAGGATGTGTGATGTCACAGTGGAAATATAAACACACATGCAGTATAATGTGATCCTTTATTGACAAAGTTTTGCCCACACAGTTGGCTTTATCAAGTCACAAACAAATCTACCTGGGTGGAAGGTATGTGAGTATTTATAGGATGGAGTCAGGTGGAGAATTCTGCATGTGACAATCTACTGAGTAGGGTTATAGTCTAGTACCTTGGGTAGCTTGGAAGAGAGATTGGATAAGTATATGAGTAGACCTTCTGCAGTGTTCCTCTATTCTCATGTTCTTATGTGGGATAGCGATGGATACATGGAACATCTGGAAGCCGAGCATTTTCCCACCATTATTCCCTCGTCTGTCACCTGGCTCCGTTATGTTGACAACATTCTCAGCATAATTCCCAGATGCTTCAACGTTCAAGCTCTCCAACACAAGCTCAACCAGGTCGAGCCCTCAATCCAGTTCACACTAGAAGAAGAAGTCGACAACACTCTTCCTTTCCTTGATATTCTTCTCTGCAAACCTGACCATGAACTTCATTTTAAAGTCTATCGAAAACCTACCAACCATCACGATCTTCTCCACTTCTACTCTCATCACGACACCAAAACTAAACGTGGTGTAACTACAGGCTTTTCCTGCATGCACTCAGAACCTGCAGCAATGAGTTCCTTGAGGAAGAATGCACTATAACTGAACAAGTGTTTTCCAAACTTCACTATCCTTGCCACTTCATCAGAGACTGCAGATGAAGGGCATTAAACATCTTCAACACACCCAGATGAGACACTGCAGAGAAGAGATACATAATCCTCCCTACCAACTCCATTGCCAAACACGTTTTCAACATCTTTTCCAATACCTCATTCCAAGTACCTACCTCCAGAACCACGACCATCAAGGACATTACCAGTAATAGACAGGACAAGCTTCCATCCTCTGCAGGGGTATACATAATTCCTTGTAATGACTGCAGCAAATTATACGTGGGCAAAACATCAAGAGACCTTCAAACACGTATTTCAGAACACCAGTACGCAGGCAGATATGACGATTCAAGGAATGCCTGTGTTCAACACCAAAATTCACAAAACCATTTGCTCAACTACAGAAACGCAAGACTTATTGCCAGAGAAGACAACACTCAATACCGAAGAATCCTGGAATCGTCACTTATCTCTATATCCAACAACTTCAACCAGAACAACGGCTTCTATAACACAGCTGAACCCCTTGCCGAGAAACTTCTTCATCGCTATCTCACATAAGAACATGAGAATGAAGGAACAGTGCAGAAGATCCACTTATACTTATCAAATCTCTCTTCCAAGCTACCCAAGGTATTAGACTCTATAACCCTACTCGGTAGATTGTCACATGCAGCTTTCTCCACCTAACCCAGCATTCTCAACCTAACATCATCCAATAAATACTTAAGTACCTTCCACCCAGGTAGACCTGTTTGTGACTTGATAAAGCCCAGTGTGTGGGTGAAACATTGTCAATAAAGGATCACATTATAATGAATATGTGTTTATATTTCCAGTGTGTCGGTATTTTATACCATTTATTTCCAGTATGATGTCACCATGGCTGTTTAATATATTTATAGATGGGGTGGTAAGAGAAGTGAATGTGCAGGTGTTGGCAAAAGGTGTGGAGTTAAAAGATAAAGAATCTAACACAAAGTGGGAGTTGTCACAGTTGCTCTTTGCTGATTACACTGTGCTTTTGGGTTATTGATGCAAGAACCTTGGGTAGTTTCAAATTTAGGTTGGGTAAATACACGACTGAGAGGGGTTGGATTTGAGTGGGACCTGCATGTGAGTAAATAGAATTATCGAAGCTTATTGCTTGGGTAGCATTGAAAATTGGGTTGGGCAAATATTCTATTAGTGGGATGGATTGTAAAGGACCTGCCTAGTATGGGCCAACAGGCCTGCTGCAGTGTTCCTCCTTTCTTATGTTCTTATGATTCGGAAGAGAAGTTGTAGATGAATGGTTCAGAGAACCAACACGTTGACACATGTGCAACTCTTGGGTATCTTTACTGAGGAAACGTTTTGCCACACTGTGGCTTCATCAGTCCATACAAAGGAGAATGGGAAAGAACAGGAGGAGTTTGAGGTAATCAGTCCCTCAGCTTTGAGTCAATGTGGTCAGTCCATCAATCTTGAAAAGAATACAGCATATCTGCAGAGAAGTAGCTTATATACCATAGGCAGGAGAGGTGCAGCAGTCGTAGGTGGTATCACATTTGACCAATGTGGAAGTAGGTCGTGCCCAAAGGTTAGGCAAGCGAAAAATTCCCAAGTATTAAGATCCCAAGAAGTTGCACTGTCAGACAGGATTGTAGATGAATGCCCCATGTAGTGCATGATGGGAACAACTGCCCCATGTAGTACATGATGGGAACAGCTGCCCCATGTAGTGCATGATGGAAACAACTGCCCCATGTAGTACATGATGGGAACAGCTGCCCCATGTAGTGCATGATGGAAACAGCTGCCCCATGTAGTGCATGATGGGAACAGCTGCCCCATGTAGTGCATGATGGGAACAGCTGCCCCATGTAGTGCATGATGGGAACAGCTGCCCCATGTAGTGCATGATGGGAACAGCTGCCCCATGTAGTGCATGATGGGAACAGCTGCCCATGTAGTGCATGATAGGAACAGTGCCCCATGTAGTGCATGATGGGAACAGCTGCCCCATGTAGTGCATGATGGGAACAGCTGCCCCATGTAGTGCATGATGGGAAGAGCTAACCTCTGACTTTGTTTGGGTTAAAACATGAACTTTTTAAGCATCTAGTGGTTTTCATTTTTACTGGTCCTTTCTTGGTGTCAACTGAGAGAATGGAAGACATACTAGTGACCTGAAATACAGACGACTTTAAAATACTGAAATAGTTGATATTTGGAATTTTTTTCTAAGGCTGGGTTGGTCTCCCCTTGTTCTGTTTTCTGAATTTTTACTAGATCTTCTTTAACCCTTTCAGGGTTGATGCCGTACTAGTACACACAAATTCTCGTGCTTTCAAATCTAGCGAGAGAGAGCTGGTAGGCTTACATATGAAAGAATGGGTCTATGTGGTCAGTGTGCACAGTATAAAAAAAAATCCTGCAGCACAAAGTACATAATGAGAAAAAAAAAAAACTCCTACTGTGTTTTTGGTTTAAAACAGCGAATTTGCAGTGTATTTTCATATGCTATTTATAGTTGCATTCTAGTTTTCCTGGTCTCATTTTATAAAATGGAAGATATATTACAGAAATTGAGATGATTTTGATTGGTATCACAATGAAAAGTAGCCTTTAATTTGAGCTCAAAGTAGCAGAAATGTTCGATTTCTGCCAAAGTTCAAAAGTAAACAGATCATGCCACGCATCCAATACACGTCAACTGGTGAGTCTAATATTCTTTCACAAGTGCGCTGATATTATTTATACCATTTCTACACTAATGCAGTAGTCTGCATAACAGTAAATCTTCCATTTTTTTGTGAGAATAAAATTTCAAAGTGGAAAGCAAAAGAAATGTAAGAGGGGCCTGGGGATGTGACCAATGAACAGAAAATTTTTTATTTTAGTGCCAGGAATGTCTGTCTTGTTTATTCTGGACCCTATTTGGAAATTGGCATCTTTGAAAATTTGTGTGAAATTGGCAAAATTGCCAATTTCTGACCACTTTATTGGATAGTTGAAATCGGTAAATGGGTGGTTTCTTGTACTCATTCGATAGAAGAAATGGAGTTCTAGCAAAATAGTTATGATTTTTGTTGACTGGTACATCGGAATTGGCCGAAAATAGGGCTTAAAGTTGGTGAAATCGCTGATGCACAAAATCGTCGAGATCACTAACTTCGCGAGAGCATAATTCTGCAAGTTTTCCATCAAATTTCATACTTTTGGTGTCATTATAATCGGGAAAAGATTCTCTATCATTTCATGAGATTTTTTTTTTTTCGAAATATTTCCAACCCTGAGAACAAGTTTACGAGAGGGCCTGCCGACCCTGAGAGAGTTAACTATTGGGACGGCCTAAACCATGACCAAACATTCATGATTACAGTTTATAAATGAGAGTGTGGAAATGTGGAGTGTGGAAATTAGGAGGTTTGGAGTTACTACAAGTATTAGTCAGAGGGCTGAAGAGGGGTTGTTGAGGTGGTTTGGTCATTTAGAGAGAAAGGAACAAAGTAGATTGGAGAGCATATAAATACGGAGGGGAAGGAAGGTGGGGTAGGGGTCGTCCTCGAAAAGGTTGGAGGGAGGGGGTAAAGGAGGTTTGGTGGACGAGGGGCTTAGACTTCCAGCAAGCATGTGTGGGCGTGTTAGATAGGAGCGAATGGAGATGAATGGTTTTTGGGACCTAACGAGCTGTTGGAGTGTAAGAAGGGTAATATTTAGCGAAGGGATAATGGGGTACAGGTTATTTTTATATAGCCAGACTTGAGTACTGGAAATGGGAAATACAATGCCTGCACTTTAAAGGAGGGGTTTGGGATATTGGCAGTTTGGAGGGATATGTTATATGTACAGTGGACCCCCCCCGAGTTTCGTGATTAATCCGTTCCAGAGAGCCTGCCGAAGGTCGAAATTCACAAAACTCGAAACCATTTTCCCCATAAGAAATAATGGAAATAAAATTAATCTGTTCCAGACACCCAAAAATATTAAAATAAAATATTGTTTTTCAAATTAAATAAAGATTTACATAATGAAAAGTGCCTGCACTTTAAAGGAGGGGTCTGGGATATTGGCAGTTTGGAGGGATATGTTGTGTATCTTTATATGTGTATGCTTCTAAACTGTTGTATTCTGAGCACCTCTGCAAAAACAGTGATAATGTGCGAGTGTGGTGAAAGTGTTGAATGATGATGAAAGTATTTTCTTTTCGGGGATTTTCTTTCTTTTTTGGGTCACCCTGCCTCGGTGGGAGATGGCCGACTTGTTGAAAAAAAAAAAATAATGAAAACAATCAGAAATCAAGTATATGCATTTAAAAAATAATAATAACATTATACTTGCCTTTACTGAAGACTTCTATGTGGATGGAAGACGGGAGAAGGGGATAGGAGGAAGGTGTACACTATTGTTTGGAAGGAGAATCTCTTTCCTTTAGGACTGTAGGTAGCAAGTCCTTATCTGGGGTTACTTCCCTTCTTCTTTTAATGCCACTGGGAACAACTTGAGAGTCACTGGACCCCTGTCGCACACAATATCTGTCCAGAGAGGTCTTTTTCTGGCATTTCTTTAAGATTTCCCTGAAGTGGGACACAACACTGTCATTGTACATGTTGCAGATATGGCTTGTTTCAGCTTGGTCAGGATGATACTTTTCAACAAAACTTTGCAACTCATTCCACATTCCACACATGTCCTTAATCACTGAAGAAGGCACCTCATCCACTCCCTCTTCCTCCTCCTCTGAGCAAGTTCCTCGGCTGTGGTCTGATGCTGTTCCAGTTGAAGCTCTTGCAGTTCGTCAGTGGTTAGCTCTTCCCTGTGGTCCTCCACCAACTCTTAAACATCCCCGTCACTCACTTTATTTACCAAAGGGCTTGCACTAGCTTTCCTTGGGTCCATGATGACTTATTTAGCAGTTGCACACACAAAAAACAATCTATTATTATGAAATGTATTGTATGAACCCGCGGGGTGATGGTCACGTGTTGGTAAACAATGGCACACTGAGCGTGAATGGCGTGGGAGACTGGCTTGGTGTGCGCGGTGACAGGCGGACGGGTACCGGACGGTTGCTGAAACACGAGTCTTTTCACGAAACTCGAGGCCAAATTTTTCCAAAAAAAAAAAAAAAAACTCGATGAAGGTCGAATTTCACAAAAGTCGAGGCTGCCAAAACTCGGGGTCCACTGAATATGCTTCTAAACTGTTGTATCTGGGTGCCTCTGCAAAAACAGTGATTATGTGTGAGTGAGGTGAAAGTGTTGAATGATGAAGTATTTTCTTTCTGAGGATTTTCTTTCTTCTTGGGGTCACCCTGCCTCGGTGGGAGATGGCCGACTTGTTGAAAAAAAAAAAAAAACAGTACAGTGGACCCCCGCATAACGATCACCTCCGAATGCGACCAATTATGTAAGTGTATTTATGTAAGTGCATTTGTACGTGTATGTTTGGGGGTCTGAAATGGACTAATCTACTTCACAATATTCCTTATGGGAACAAATTCGGTCAGTACTGGCACCTGAACATACTTCTGGAGTGAAAAAAATATTGTTAACCGGGGGTCCACTGTACACAAATAACCCACACCTAGGGCAGAAAAACTCATGATAACATTTCAGTCCAACTTGGACATTTACAAGTCACTTGTAAATGGCCAAGTTGGACTGAAAAATTGTCATGAGCTCCTCTCTCCTGTGTGTGTTGTGTGTGTACTGTTCCAGTCACGGTATTGTGCCTTTTTGTTCTTTATTAACCAAGAAATTGGAAAAAAAAACAACGTTGATTTTTTGGGGGCTGTGCTTGACCTGTCTATTGCCTGTCTCCTCACCTGACCTACCTATTGTCTGTCTCCTCATCTGACCTGTCTATTATCTGTCTCCTCAACTGATCTGTCTATTGTCTGTCTCCTCACCTGATCTGTCTATTGTCTGTCTCTTCACCTGACCTCTCTAGTATCTGTCTCCTCACCTGATCTATCTATTGTCTGTCTCTTCACCTGACCTGTCTCTTGTCTGTCTCCTCACCTTATCTGTCTATTGTCTGTCTACTCACCTGACCTGTCTATGGTCTGTCTCCTCACTTGACCTGTCTATGGTCTGTCTCCTCACCTGACCTGTCTATTGTCTGTCTTCTCACCTGACCTGTCTATTGTCTGTCGCCTCACCTGACCTGTCTATTGTCTGTCTCCTCACCTGACCTGTCTACTGTCTCTTCACCTGACCCATCTGCTGTCTTTCTCTTCACCTGACCCATCTACTGTCTTTCTCTTCACCTGACCCATCTACTGTCTTTCTCTTCACCTGACCCATCTACTGTCTTTCTCTTCACCTGACCCATCTACTGTCTTTCTCTTCACCTGACCCATCTACTGTCTTTCTCTTCACCTGACCATCTACTGTCTTTCTCTTCACCTGACCCATCTACTGTCTTTCTCTTCACCTGACCCATCTACTGTCTTTCTCTTCACCTGACCCATCTACTGTCTTTCTCTTCACTGACCCATCTACTGTCTTTCTCTTCACCTGACCCATCTACTGTCTTTCTCTTCACCTGACCCATCTACTGTCTTTCTCTTCACCTGACCCATCTACTGTCTTTCTCTTCACCTGACCCATCTACTGTCTTTCTCTTCACCTGACCCATCTACTGTCTTTCTCTTCATCTGACCCATCTACTGTTTTCCCTCCTGACCCATCTACTGTCTTTCTCTTCACCTGGCCCATCTACTGTTTTTTCCTCACCTGACCCATCTACTGTCTTTCTCTTCATCTGACCCATCTACTGTCTTTCTCTTCATCTGACCCATCTACTGTTTTTTCCTCACCTGACCCATCTACTGTCTTCCCCAGGTCTTAACCTGTCCTGTCACATCAAAGTCAGTTACACTAACATCCACAACTTAGTTCAAAGGAACCTTCCCCATACACCTGTAACAATACTCTACATAAAACTACAGCACAGTCATCTCTCCCATAAACCTTCTCTACAAAGCAAAATTTTTTGTAAATGTGATTTAAAAGGCGAATCCAAAATTGAACAGCACGTGGGAAGATCTTCATAGTAAACAAAGAAAATTTCTTTCTTTGTGTAGTATACCAAATGTAGTTACATGTAATTAAATACTGTTAAGCACAAAGAAAGCCACTAGCAAACCATACCACAGGCGGGGTTAGAACCCACGATCAGTCATAAAACTCCAGACCAACGCACTAACCACTCTCCGTCATTACGATTTCGTGAGTCAAAGCCACAAGCATGCAGTGCATTTTGGGCAGACTACTACTAATGCTTACATTAGATACAGGTTATTGATTGGTAAATTTTAGCTATGAATTATTATAAGAGAGAGAGAGAGGCAGTAAACAATATTACAATCAGTATAATTTACTATACAGGGGTAGCAAAAATATTACTATTAGTACAATTTACAATAGTACAATTTTAAGTATGTATTAATACTGTAAACTGATCCAGTGATGTGAAGTTAACTGAGATATGTTGAGTTTGTTGAAAGACTAAGAGAAGTCATGAAGTGCTGACCATCACTGAACAAGTGATAATACTCCCAATTATTGTGCATAATTTATCAATTAAACTTTATAATAGGTATATATAGGACTTGTATATAGTGTCTGCAAGTATCCACGGCTTCAGTATCCACATATCCCCCACGCACATGGGGGTCCTACACTACTATGTTTTATTCAATTTTGGATGTACTACATGAATCATGAAATCCTAGTAATGCAGTTGCAAATAAATTCTAGTGTGACCCCTGTCTAACCTCCTTACAATGTATAGAAATATAGCTAGTTGGGTGAAGCTTATCACAGCCAGCTGGCCAAGTGGTTAACACACAGGCCTGCGAGTTGAAAGATTCACTTGCGGTGGGTTTAAACCTTACCTGTTCCCTGGTTTGGATGTATTTTTCAATTGCATTCACAAAATCACACTAAACAGAGGAGGTTTACAGATCTTTCTGTATATGTCATTTTTTGTTTGTCTTACCCGAGTCTTCCTTGAATGTGCTATCCTTGGGAACTCCAAGAAAGGTGCCTTCCTCATCATCAGCAAATCCCAGCTGAGATTTTATCTTGGAAATGGAAAACTCGCCATCGTCCTCGTCCTCCATATCAATGTCCAGCGGTGGAAAGTTATCTTTACCGAGATCTCCATTTTGTGCTCCACTCTCAGTGCCTCCATTAACCTGAGAATTATAGAGAGGAAAAAAACAAGTAAAAATATTGAGCAAGTGGTTAACCCTTAAATGGTCCAAACGTATACATTGGACCCCCGAGTTTCGTGATTAATCCGTTCCAGAGAGTCTGCCGAATGGCGAAACCATTTTCCCCATAAGAAATAAAGGAAATAAAATTAAACCGTTCCCGACACCCAAAAATATTAAAATAAAATTTTTTTTTTTCAAATTAAATAAAGATTTACATACTGAAAACAATGAGAAATCAAGTACATACATATAAAAAATAATAACAACATTACACTTACCTTTACTGAAGACTTCTGGGTGGATGGAAGACGGGAAGAGGGGATAGGAGGAAAGTGTACACTAGTGTTTGGAAGGAGAATCTCCATCCATTAGGACTTCAGGTACGAAGTCCTTATCTGGGGTTACTTCCCTTTGTTTTTTCAAGACACTGGGAACAACTTGAGAGTCACTGGTCCCCTGTCGCACAAAATATCTGTCCAGAGACCTCTGTTTCTGGCGTTTCTTTAAGATTTGTCTGAAGTGGGACACAACACTGTCATTGTACATGTTGCCAACACAGCCTGCAACAGCTTTGTCAGGGTGAAGTTCATCCATAAATGTTTGCACTTCAGTCCGCTTTGCACAAATGTCCTTAATCTTTGAAGAAGGCACCTTCCTGCATCTCTCTTCCTCCTCTTCTGCAGCAATTTCCTGAGCTGTGATCTCTTGCTGTTGCAGATGAAGCTCTTCCAGTTCTTCAGTAGTTAGCTCTTCCCTGTGGTATTCCACCAACTCTTCCACACACTCGCCACTCATCTCCAACCCCAGGGACTTCCCCAATGCCAAAATACTTTCCACAACTGCCATAGGCTCATCAGGGTCAGCCCCCAAACTCTTCAAAATCCCTCTCTTGTATACATTCTGGCCACAATTTTCTCCAAGCAGAGTTCAAAGTTCTGCAAGTCACTCCCTCCCAAGCCTTACCTGTAAGGTTTATGCAAGTGAGAATATCGAAGTGATCTTTCCAGAACTCTCTTAGGGTAAATTCAGTGTCTGAGGTCACTTCAAAGCACTTTTGAAACACTGCTTTGGTGTACAGTTTTTTGAAGTTTGAAATGACCTGCAGGTCCATGGGCTGGATGAGAGGAGTTGTATTAGGGGGCAAGAACTTCACCGTGATGAAACTAAACTCCCCCACTATTTGCTCTTCCAAGTCTGGAGGATGAGCAGGACCATTTTCCATTACCAGGAGGCACTTGAGTGGCAGTTTATTTTCCAAGAGGTATTTCTTCACACTGGGGCCAAACACTTCATTAAACCAGTCTAGGAAAATTCCCCTTGTGACCCATGCCTTGTTAGCCTTCCACATCACACACAAATTACTCTTGGCAACACTGTTTTTCTTGAACACTCTGGGATTTTCAGAGTGATACACCAGTAAAGGTTTCACTTTGCAATCCCCACTAGCATTACTACAAAACATGAGAGTAAGCCTATCCTTCATAGGCTTGTGTCCTGGGAGTGTCGTTTTCTCCTGCGTGATGTAGGTCCTCTTTGGCATTTTCTTCCAAAAGAGGCCTGTTTCATCACAATTAAACACTTGTTGGGGTTTGAATTCTCCAGTGTCTACGCACTCCTTAAACTCCTGTACAAACTTCTCAGCTGCTTTTTTGTCAGAACTGGCAGCCTCACCATGCCTTATGACACTGTGAATGCCACTACGTTTCTTAAATCTCTCAAACCAACCTTTGCTGGCCTTAAAATCACAAGCATCACCACTCATTGCAGGCATTTTCTTTACGAGATCATCATGCAACTGCCTTGCCTTTTCACATATTATCGATTGCATAATACTATCTCCTGCTAACTGTTTTTGGGTAATCCACACCAACAATAACCTTTCCACTTCTTCGAGGATTTGTGATCTCTTTTTTGTCAGCATATCTACCCCTTTTGCAACAACAGCACACGGTATTTCCTTTCCCTTTGCCACAATCGAAGTGATGGTCGAATGGGGTTTGCCATACATCCTGGCAAGTTCTGTAACATGAACTTCGCTCTCATATTTCTCAATGATTTCCATCTTGAATTCGATTGTATTCCTCACTTTCTTTACCAAAGGGCTTGCACTAGCTTTCCTTGGGCCCATGGTGACTTATTTAGCAGTTGCAAGAACAAAATACAATGGATTATTATGAAATGTATGAACCTGCGGGGTGATGGTCACGTGCTGGTAAACAATGGCACACTGAGTGTGAATGGTGCGGAAGACTGGCTTTGTGTGCCGGTGACGAGTGGACGGGTACCGGACGGTCACCGAATCATGAGTCCAATCACGGATTTCACGAAAGTCGATGCCAGCGAAACTCAGGGGGTCCACTGTATATACGTTCTTACGCGTAGCACCCCAAACATATATATAGTTTTATTTTTCCTGCCTTCAAATTTGGCAGGATTGGCCTGAGATGCATTGTCAGCATTGAATGGGTCCTACTCAGTGTGCGCAGTATTCAAAAAATCTGGGATCACTTAGTACCTTGTGGGAGCGCCAGTTAAACTGAGCGCCAGCTAGAGCAAACAGTGCGGCAAACACCAAGGATTCACTTATGTAATGTCATATTAACACTCCTCTTTTAAGAGGAAAGTGATGTTAACCCCAAGTTTAGGGTCTGTCTATCTCTGTATCCCTATCTCTGTCTTCCTCAAACTATCTGTCCATCTCTATCTGTGTCTCTGTCTACCTCTATCTCTGTCTCTGTCTTTGTATATCTGTCTATCTCTTTCAATCTGTCTCTCTCTTTCTATCTGTCTGTATCTCTGTCTCACAGGTACACAAATACAAGAATACATTGTGTAAATTACCTAGGATAACCCAAAAAATCCAGACAAAGTGCTATATTCTGCTTGAAGATGTGAGTAAAGGTGATGAGACAGAGAGCTAGACAGATAGACTGACAGACAGGGAGCTTGACAGACAAATAGACAGACATGTTTGTTTACCAGCGAAAACAAAGCGAGGGCGATGCTCATCAAATATCACCTCTAATCTTTTCTTATCTGCTGCACCCTCCCCCACCCTCGTGTATGCTCATCAAACGATGGCTCTTATCAGATGTCATCTCATCATGTCACTGTCAGGGTGGACTTTGTTTTTCATGCTTCAATGAAACTTATTATTACCTATTTTTATTATTATTTTTTTATTTTTTATTAACACACTGGCCAATTCCCACCAAGGCAGGGTGGCCCGAAAAAGAAAAACTTTCACCATCATTCCCTCCGTCACTGTCTTGCCAGAAGGGTGTTTTACACTTACAGTTTTTAAACTGCACCATTAACACCCCTCCTTCAGAGTACAGGCACTGTACTTCCCATCTCCAGGACTCAAGTCCGGCCTGCCGGTTTCCCTGAACCCCTTCATAAATGTTACTTTGCTCACACTCCAACAGCACATAAAGTATTAAAAACCATTTGTCTCCATTCACTCCTATCAAACACGCTCATGCATGCCTGCTGGAAGTCCAAGCCCCTCACACACAAAACCTCCTTTACCCCCTCCCTCCAACCTTTCCTAGGCTGACCCCTACCCCGCCTTCCTTCCGCTACAGACTGATACACTCTTGAAGTCATTCTGTTTCGCTCTATTCTCTCTACATGTCCGAACCACCTCAACACCCCTTCCTCAGCCCTCTGGACAAACGTTTTGGCAATCCCATACCTCCTCCTAACTTCCAAACTACGAATTCTCTGCATTATATTCACACCACACATTACCCTCAGACATGACATCTCATTGCCTCCAGCCTTCTCCTCGCTGCAACATTCATCACCCATGCTTCACACCCATATAAGAGGGTTGGTAAAAGTATACTCTCATACATTCCCTTCTTTGCCTCCAAGGACAAAGTTCTTTGTCTCCACAGACTCCTAAGTGCACTGCTCACCCTCTTCCCCTCATCAATTCTATGATTCACCTCATCTTTCACAGACCCATCCGCTGACAGGTCCACTCCCAAATATCTGAATACATTCACCTCCTCCATACTCTCTCCCTCCAATCTGATATCAAATCTTTCATCACCTAATCTTTTTTTTATCCTCATAACCTTACTCTTTCCTGTATTCACTTTTAATTTTCTTCTTTTGCATACCCTACCAAATTCATCCACCAACCTCTGCAACTTCTCTTCAGCATCTCCCAAGAGCACAGTGTCATCAGCAAAGAGCAACTGTGACAACTCCCACTTTATGTGTGATTCTTTATCTTTTAACTCCATGCCTCTTGCCAAGACCCTCGCATTTACTTCTCTTACAACCCCATCAATAAATATATTAACCACGGTGACATCACACATCCTTGTCTAAGGCCTACTTTTACTGGGAAATAATTTCCCTCTTTCCTACATACTCTAACTTGAGCCTCACTATCCTCGTAAAAACTCTTCACTGCTTTCAGTAACCTACCTCCTACACCATACACCTGCAACATCTGCCACATTGCCCCCCTATCCACCCTGTCATACGCCTTTTCCAAATCCATAAATGCCACAAAAACCTCTTTAGCCTTATCTAAATACTGTTCACTTATATGTTTCACTGTAAACACCTAGTCCACACACCCCCTACCTTTCCTAAAGCCTCCTTGTTCATCTGCTATCCTATTCTCCGTCTTACTCTTAATTCTTTCAACTAATAATTCTACCATACACTTTACCAGGTATACTCAACAGACTTATCCCCCTATAATTTTTGCACTCTCTTTTGTCCCCTTTGCCTTTATACAAAGGAAATATGCATGCTCTCTGCCAATCCCTAGGTACCTTACCCTCTTCCATACATTTATTAAATAATAGCACCAACCACTCCAAAACTATATCCCCACCTGCTTTTAACATTTCTATCTTTATCCATCAATCCCGGCTGCCTTACCCCCTTTCATTTTACCTACTGCCTCACGAACTTCCCCCACACTCACAACTGGCTCTTCCTCACTCCTACAA